CTTTTCTCAACCTTTTGAGCTCCCGAGTGTGCTTTAATAAAAGAATCTGCAAGCTCAGCAAAAAAATTTATAGAATTTACAGATAAAAGAGAATACTAGGTTAATGCACCCTTGGTGAGTGTTTCTTCAAATTTTTTGACCAGTACTGATTCGATTTCTTGTTTGGTAAAATCGTTGCCTTTCACGCCTGTTATAAATGCAGTCACGTGGTCATGTGGGTCTGTTGTACCATCATATTTCGGGATGTCAGGCATTTTGAACTTTTTCGCAATTGGAAGGGGAGCAGCACTTGGCTTCCAAGGTTGTTGTGAGTATCTGTCCATGTGTACTCCTTTTAATACAGGCGGAACTCCAGGGATTTGCTCAATACGCTCATTTTGTTCCTTAATATGTTTCTGCAAGGTTAGAACTAAATTTTACAAATAGGAATTATTTGAATTACCTGGTCTCCTGTGGTTCACTGGTGGTTCCTCCATTTTCAGAATTAACAAGACCAGAGCGAGGATTCTCCAATGTATTATTATTAGGAGTTGGTGTGGGTAGTGCAGCAGGCAATCGACTAACTAGAGCCTGAAGAGCTTTGCCGACCTGTGCATCAATTAGCTTTTGTAAAGCTTCACTTGCACCTCCTTCAAAATGTTCAGATTGTTCTTGTTGATCAGCACGGGATTCAGGGGCAGGAGTGCCTTCATGAGATTGACGTGGTGAATCTAGAGGGAAGGGAACCACGTCAATGTTCGGTAGGTCTCCTTGATTTTGATGGGTTTGATTTTCATGGTTTCCCAAGGTGTTTTCACTGTGGTTGTTGTTGTTTTACATGATGATAACAACGGATAGAGCGTAGCTTAAAAGAAAAGATTATCAGTTTCCCGGTAACAGAACTAATTTGTTTAACCAAAAATCTGAGTCTTTGGTCAAAGCTAGAAACGAAGAGAAATTCGGGTTACTGATAATCAGGAGACGAAAATAATAAAAGATTTTTGAGAACGATGATAAAGCAGTAAATAGCTTTGAATTTCAGTAAAGTCTCAATAATCTTCCTCTCTACAGATGTCGAGTCCTTCTCATTTTATAGTTGATTCTAGGAGAATGTGTAATGCATTTGTCTTAATGAGACAATTATGAGCAATAAATGACATTAAAAGAAACGTTACTCAATCATTCCTATTAAATACAAATTCTCTAACGTATTTGATATTTAATGCTGAATTTGGACTCTTTTGCGTCATCAGATTCATATCGTCAATCCTTTTCGATCTTCGGGGTTTTAAATGACTTATATAGGTACGAAACTCGTGCCTCTTGAATAACGACTCGTGCCTATTTAACTTTCTTCTCTCCGTATCTGTTGTCGCCCGTGCCTTCTTGGTTGATTACCGTGTTTTGACCATTTGACCAGTTCACGTGTCATGACACGTCATTTTCAATATATAAATTCAGTTTTTTCCCAATATACAACCTGTCACCCATGAGTTTACAGGTTGGCAATGCACTGCCCGCTAATGGCAGTAACATAACTAGAACATAAAGGCCATTCCTTATTTTTGTATAAAAATTATTACTCCTATGCAAAAAAAAAAAAAAATGATCAACAAGTTAAGTTTTGCGAGAAGTCAAATATATAAAGATTTCAGTTCTTTATTTGATATTTGAATTTCTAAAATTAAGAAGCAATAACTCGAAAAAAAATTGTTATTTATATAGATACATAAATAAATGATGACAAAAAAATATTATTTGACTCTTTAAAGTTTAAATAGTAGCAGTAACATTGTTATTGTTCTTAATGAAACATCATCATTACTACTACTTCCTCCGGTTTTGCTGATTAAGATTTTAATTACCCTTATCTTTTTTATAAATAGTTAATTAATGACTGTTATGAGTCATATTTTAGTAGTAAGAATGAAATTATAAAGAAAATAACGCCTTCTGGATTTTTAAAATGAGTATAATATTTTTTACCACTATTTTTAGTTGAAGTGATAAATAAAAAAGGACCGAAAGAAGTTGTTATTAAGTAGACTGTACCGTAAGATTTTTATTGTCTCATTGCTGTACATAATTGACGTACGTCGCTTCCTGGTATATTACTCAATGCATTCTCATCTCCTACTTATACCTTCCTCCTTTCTTCTCTCCTCCTAAATTTTTCTCATGTATACAAATTGTTCATTACTTCATTCATCCATTTTCTTCTAACACAAGCAACTAAATCAATCCTCTCTTGTTGAATCAGATCACCAAAGCACAGCAGCAAAATGGGTATATGCAATTCTTGCGAATCTACATCAGTAGCTACAGCAAAATTAATACTACAAGACGGAAGATTACAAGAATTCTCTTATCCTATAAAAGCTTCATATCTCTTACAAAAAGATCCAAATATCTTTATTTGCAATTCAGATGAAATGGAGTTTGGAGATATTGTATCAGCCATAAAATCTGACGAAGAGCTTCAATTGGGTCAACTGTATTTTGCTTTGCCTTTGAACCGGCTGAAACGTAAGCTTAAGGCGGAAGAAATGGCTGAGTTAGCAGTGAAGGCTAGTTCTGCATTGAATAGTATTTGTGGTAAAGAGAAATGTGGGTGTCGTAATAAAGTTGATTTATTTTCAGGAGAGAAAGATGGTGGGAAGTTAGGGAAGAAGGTGGCGGGTGGCGGTGGTTCGACGGTGGCTGAGGGGAGAAGAGGGAGGAGGAGTAGTGGTGGTGGCGGTGATGGGCGGAGAGGGAAGTTCACGGCGAGGTTGAGTGCAATACCTGAGTAGGATAAATTCTTGGGCATTTTCTTTTTCTGAAACACTACTACAAAACTAGCATTTTTTCTCCAAAAATTTCTTTGGTCGCAAAAGTCAACAAAAATAAAATAGAAATTAGTAGTGTTGGTGGTGGTGGTGATGAACCGAATTCGGTTGGAAAGAACTTGTTATAACAAATTAAAAGTAATGGAAATTAGACCCACATTTTAATATTCACTAGATTAGAATCTGTTGATGGGTGAAGCTTGAGATTAGAGTGTTTAAACAAAAATCTGAGTCTTTGGTCAAAGCTAGAACGAAGAGAAATTCGGGTTACTGATAATCAGAAGACGAAAAGAATAAAAGATTTTTGAGAACGATGAAAAAGCAGTAAATAGCTTTGAATTTCAGTAAAGTCTCAGTAATCTTCCTCTTTACAGATGTCGAGTCCTTCTCATTTTATAGTTGATTCTAGGAGAAGGTGTAATGTCTTTGTCTTAATGAGGTAATTATGAGCAATAAATGACACTAAAAGAAACGTTACTCAATCATTCCTATTAAATACAAATTCTCTAACGTATTTGATATTTAATGCTGAATTTGGACTCTTTTGCGTCATCAGATTCATATCTTCAATCCTTTCCGATCATCGGGGTTTTAAATGACTTATATAGGTACGAAACTCGTGCCTCTTGAATAACGACTCGTGCCTATTTAACTTTCTTCTCTCCGTATCTGTTGTCGCCCGTGCCTTCTTGGTTGATTACCGTATTTTGACCATTTGACCAGTCCACGTGTCATGACACGTCATCTTCAATTTATAAATTAAGTTTTTTCCCAATACAGATAGTCCCCCCACTTTCCATTTATTTATCAATTAAATATCTGGGAAGTGGATCTTCACAAAAAGGGAATTTTTACCATAATCAATGCTATGACAGTACTGACGCTTCAATTATCTTTTCTATTTAATGCTCTGCACACGCGTCACCTTCTGATTGGCTCCGTAATTTTGCAGCCTTTTTTCAAGGCTTATTCATACCTTATATTCACGAAGTGATAGTTGCCTTTATTATAGGCTTTCCGTCATTACACTTCTAAGTTTGACGGTTGTCATTATAAACATATTTAACCCTCTTTCTTTTGTCTTCTTCTTCATAGACCTTCAACAAGCAATTTATTATTCACTTTTGCTTTTTCTCCCCTTTAGTTCATCATTCTCCAACAATGTCATCTCCAAACCCTAACCCTAGAAAAGTTTCAATTCTAGATCACTTCCTCAATGCCCCCTTAAGACATAGGAGAGGCAGAGGAGGTAGGCTTCGGAGCTTGAGCCTAGGATCTACTCGTGGTGATTCATCTGGTTCTGCTTCTTCTTCTTCTTCTTCTTCTTCTTCTTCTTCTTCTTCTTCTTCTTCTGGTATTAGGAGTTCTATCCCAAAGACCCCTTCTTCTAAAGGTAAAGAACTTTCTGAACCTACTCAGGAAC